CATCTAGTGGCCATAATAAATACTTCTTTCCTATGCTCCTCGGCTCCATCTAGTGGCCATAACAAATACTTCTTTCCTATGCTCCTCAGCTCATCTAGTGGCCATAATAAATACTTCTTTCCTATGCTCCTCAGCTCATCTAGTGGCCATAATAAATACTTCTTTCCTATGCTCCTCGGCTCCATCTAGTGGCCATAATAAATACTTCTTTCCTATGCTCCTCAGCTCATCTAGTGGCCATAATAAATACGTCTTCTCTATGCTCCTCAGCGCCATCTAGTGGCCATAAGAAATACTTCTTTCCTATGCTCCTCAGCGCCATCTAGTGGCCATAACAAATACTTCTTTCCTATGCTCCTCAGCGCCATCTAGTGGCCATAATAAATACGTCTTATCTATGCTCCTCAGCACCATCTACTGGCCATAATAAATACTTCTTTCCTATGCTCCTCAGCACCATCTAGTGGCCATAATAAATACTTCTTTCCTATGCTCCTCAGTGCCATCTAGTGGCCATAATAAATACGTCTTATCTATGCTCCTCAGCGCCATCTAGTGGCCATAATAAATACTTCTGTCCCATGTTTCCTCAGCGCCATCTAGTGGCCATAATAAATACTTATCCCCCTATGCTCCTCATCGCCATCTAGTGGCCATAATAAATACTTATCCCCCTATGCTCCTCGGCTCAATCTAGTGGCCATAATAAATACTTATCCCCTATGCTCCTCGGCGCCATCTTGTGGCCATAATAAATACGTCTTATCTATGCTCATCAGCGCCATCTAGTGGCCATGATAAATACTTATTTCCTATGCTCCTCAGCGCCATCTAGTGACCATAATAAATACTTATTTCCTATGCTCCTCAGTGCCATCTAGTGGCCCTAATAAATACTTATCCCCTATGCTCCTCAGCGCCATCTAGTGGCCATAATAAATACTTATTTCCTATGCTCCTCAGCCCCATCTAGTGGCCATAATGCAGTATGACATCACAATACATTTGACCTGAAATAAAAATATATTCCGAACGTTCATTTTGTGTCACTATTTGCACACAACGGACGTTCACAGATATTCTCGGGGTGACAGCCCTGCATATTATCTATAAATGGAACCCCTAAGACTTACCATCCCAGCATCACATGACTGAGTATCCCCTTTTATAGATCGGGGAGGGGGGCGGGGGGGGTATGAAATGTTGTACCTCTGGGCACATCCCGCGCTATTAACAATTTACGGTCATTCCTGCAACTGAATGTTCTAATGAAATGTAACTTTACTGATAAATAAAACTCTTTTTCTACTACCCAAAAAAAAAAAAAAGGTCCCGTTATATAGAATTGACACGTCTGCATTTATCCATGACTTCACACAATAGCGTCTTCTAGGTTTTTTTTTCGTTTTTTTCCACCGCACACATGCTAAAATATGAGCATTTTAGCGTGTGTGCAAAAAAAACAAAATAAAAAAAAACAAACACAAAAAAAAGACACTATTGTGTAACTCCACGGGGGGAATTTTTTTTACATTTTAGCATGTGCGCAAAAAAACACACATGATAAAATTTGCTCGTATTGTGTAAACTAAAAAAAATACCACGTGAGCAAAAAAATAAAGTAAAAAATACTATTGTGTAATTCCGCGAGTAAAAAAATTTGAATTTTAGCACGTGTGCAACAAAAAAAAAAGGTTTAAAAAATGCGTAATTTAAAAAAGAAGCTATTGTGTAATTCATGTCACATGTTACCCGTGAAGTTACACAATAGCGTCTTTTTTTTTAGGGCTTGTTTTCTGGTCCAGATCTGCAGACGCGGTGCTATGCGCGCAGTGCGTTTTTACCGCGTTCTAGTTTTTTTGTTGGTGGGGCTGTCAGTATGTTAGCTGCAGTGCGGTGCATTTTCGACGCGTTCATGCGTTTCCGGACCGGACAAAATGTGACATGCAGTATTTTCTCTGTCCGAACCGGAACAGACTGCGCACGTGAGAACTGTAGCCCATAAATCGCATAGGTAGACATTGGGATGCATTTTGGGTGCACGAGCGCATGGATCTGGTCCGGACAGGATCCGGACGTCGTGTGAACAAGCCCTTAAATTGCACATTTTTAAAACATTTTTTTTTTTGCACACATGGTATTTTTTTTTTTAGTTTACACGATACGAGAATTTTCAAAAAGGGGAATACACATGTTTTATTAAAAACAGCATTTGGTTTATAGCCCTCAGTGCACAGAGGAAACCATATATCATTCACTTATCAGAGGTCACCTATACAACAGAAGAAACACATCCAGCCCCGCCCCCTGCAATTTAAGAAATGTGACACACAGGCATGGCTGCTGCGGTCTTCTCCGCCATCCTGGTTTCTGGCACCAGCTCGGGAAAGTAAGAAAATACACTTTGATGCTTCCAAATCTGAAAACGCTCAAGCAACCACCAGGAAACAGCAAAGTATTACCTTCAGTGAATTGTCCATATTCTCCATATGTACAGGAAATTTAGTAAACGAAACACATTGCCAGCACTTAAGATGGCCGCAACGGTTTCAGCTTCTTTCTAATGGGTAGACGTTTCCGGTTCGGATAGGAAGTAGAGAAATATGCGTTCCTGGTCACTGGTGGTGACATTAGGGCAAGTGACGACCTTCTGGTGAAAACGGCCTCGGGGGGCACGCACAACGATGATGAACTAGCACCCATTCATGAGCGAAAGAAGAACAGAGACAGCATGGGAGGCTTTGCCCTCACCTAAGATGGAGGCCGGTTCGTCCTCCCTCCCAACCCGCAGCGATTCTCTTCCGGTCTGGGCAGGAAATGACGTACATTTTTCTTTCCCGCTTCCATCTTTGTTTCTATCCGCATTGAGGAGCGCCCTGAGTGAGGTGAAGGAGGTGAGTGGGGACGTCGAACGGGGGCTCCAGGGTGAGCTGGGAGGCTCCCGGGGAGAGTGTGAGGACTCCTGCGGCTTGGGAGACTTCGGAGAGTAGTGGGAGGCCTGACAGGAGTAGGGCCCTGAGAGAACACAGAGAGGCCAGAGAGCTGCAGGGGAGACACCGTAGAGAGGATGATGGACCTCCTGGAGGTTGGGTGACCACCCTCACAATAGAGATATGCTCTTCTCAGGTTGTGGTTGGGTAACCCTGTAGTCCCCACTTTGACGTTTACATGGAAATTTAGGGGTTACCCGGGTAACCAGCCTCTAATAGTACAGCCACATATGACACACCTGGCCACGGGGTGCTATGAGGTCACATAGCTGGAAACCTTGATTTGCAAAATCCCCTCCCCCCCTTCACGTTAGAAGGTTCTTCCTCCCCATGTCTGTATTGTAAGGATCCTGTTGGGAAGCAAAACAGGGAACATAGGGATGCTGTGGCCACCTCTCAAGCATTGGGAGCTGATTGTGTAACCTATAACATGCATTTTTTTTATCCTCGTAGCACCATCTAAGAATACCAAATGGCCGACAGCGATGACGAGTACGACCGCCGGCGCCGAGACAGTGCCCTTATTACCCATAACAAGGGAGACGCGCTCACTTCCACATTGCTGACTGAGCTGAGGGACGGCGGGGACTGTACTGGGGGGGTGGGTCTCGGGATAGGACATGATCTCCGCTGATTATCGCAGCCCCCGCGTTAAGCTCAGGGAGTTGATGGGAGAACAGGCAGCCCTCCGGTATTGGGATATTAATGTTTTTTTTTTCTTCATTTTGCAGGGAGTGGGACCGAGGACGTGAGAGGAGGAGCAGAGAATACCGAGATTATGACAGAAGCAGAAGGGAGAGGTTCTCTCCCCCGCGCCATGAGATGAGCCCCCCTCAGAAGCGTATGAGAAGAGATTGGTGAGTGCTTATACCACCGCGCACCGTCTACCATGACACTCGTCTGCGGCCAGGCTGTGTGGTAGTATTTGGCGCCCCCCCCCTGGGACGACGCTGTAGTAGTGTTGCTGATTTTGTGTTTTTTTTTGTTTTAGGGACGATCACGGTTCCGACCCGTATCACAGCGGTTACGACATGCCATATTCTGGCTCTGCTGGTGGCCCAGCCTACGGTCCTCCACAGCAGTGGGGGCATCCCGACATGCACGTCATGCAGCATCCTGGTATCCCCATCCAGGCCAGGTAATGGGGGTTACGCAGAGTGATCTGTCGTTTATTATCTTGATTTTACTACTTGGATATGCAACAGGAAGTGGAGGGAATTCCCCTCTCAGACAGTTGTCACTGCTGCTGGTGGAAGATTTCCCATTGCCTCGTGTTCTATTGAGATCTGTGAAATGTTGGATTTCTCATCACTTCCTGTCTCGGTGACGGTGGTCACCAGGACAAGTAAAGGGGTTTTGTCTCCCCAGCAGCGCACATTTGTATATGCAACCCCTATGATTGGTTCACACAAGCTGGACGCACAACGGGTTCCGCTGGCATAGCTTGTTGAAGCTTGTACCACGTCACTGGTGTCCCGCCCAAGGTCCGCCCCCTCTGGGGCATTTAACCCAATCACGGCTTAGTCGTAGAGACATTAGCCAACACATGACACTTGCCACTATTGCTGCAGGCAATCCGTTGTTCGGACACGCCAATCGCCTGGCTGCTATACTTTTGCACTGTGGACCTGGAACACAACAAGTAAAGTTGAACAGTAACTTGAAGTGTGGAAAGTAGAGAATTAACACGAAAAGCCAACCGGCTGCGTTTTTCAGAATGAGGTCCGCATCTGTCCTAACGGGCTCCTCCTTCATAGACTCCGCCACCATGTCAGTGGGGGGCAAAGTGAACGTGTCCCTCCAAAAAGGGCATCACCTTACCCCCTTATACTGACCTTACCTGTTCTCCCTCACAGCTCCTTCCTCCTTCCAGCAATGGTAAAATGTGACCCCTCATTCACTGGTGACACTGCCTAGACCTAGTGATGGTACATGTCTAGGTGAGTATGATCACTCAGGTCACCATCTGGTCTCAATGCAGGGATAAGTGGACATGTCCCTAAAAAGGGCATCCCCAGACCCCCTTATACTGACCTTACCTGTGCTCTCACACAGCTCCTTCCAGCAATGGAGAAATGTGACCTCATTCACCCTCGATGCTGCCTGGTCCTAGTGATGGTACATGTCTAGAGGAGTATGATCACTCGGGTCACCATCAGGCCACCTTGTCAATGCCGGGCAAAGTGGACATGTCCCTGAAAAAGGGCCTCCCCGGACTCCCATGTAGCCTTACACGGGCTCCTTCCTCCTCTGCAGCAGGTGAGAATACCCAATACTTCCAGACATGGAGACACGTGTGACTGTATTCACCGTTGACGTTGCCTGGGCACATATTTGAGGGAGTATGATCACTCTGGTCACCATCAAAGCTGATCCAATCGCAGACTACAGAGGAGGGGGGAACACGGGTAAGGGAAATTAAAGGTGGTCAGGAAAAGTCATTTGCAGAGATGCTGTTACTTTGCCCTGAGCATGGTGCCAGTGTCTCTTCACAGGCATATCGCTAGGATCATCCTTTGACTTGCTGGCCTCACATAAGGGGTTAATTATCTCTTGTTGGGACAGCAGGACAGGTTGATGAAAGCCAAAGAAGAAAAAAAAGTGACAGAGAACAGAGCAGACCTACCTGGTCATCTATTTGTTCTCTGTAACAATGCAGCGATCAGACCTGAGAGCGTCTGGGAGCCGCAAGATGTGTATTGTTGTCGCCGGCTTAGTGGGAGTGACGAGTATTTCACAATTGAGGTTCAGCTCCTTTTTATGACATATGATCCGTAAAGTAGAAATGGCAGAACGGTAATCTCATCCCCTTCAGACTCTGCCGACTATTGTATGCAGAAGGTAAGCCATGGACTTTGCTTATTTACAAGACTTCATGGAATGGTTTCATCTCCATTGTCCCGGTGTTGGGTGTCTCACGCATCTTCAGCTTGGCTGCTTTACCGCTGTATTTAAAGTGTTTGAGAGTCCCCATCCTCCGCCCAATCTTAAAGCAATACAGAAAGGTTTCATATGATATCCACATCACTGAAATTGTATTAAAAATGTCTCACTTTACATAATTATGTTAAGTGATCATGTGACCGCTATTCATAGCTGTATCTACGGCTTGTAAGTGGTGGGGGGCGGAGCCTTTCTTTGGAGTGCATCACAGGTAGTCTCCATATGAGCCTGTGTCAATCACAGTGGTACCCATGGCTTTTTAGGGGGTACAGCCTTCATCTGAGTGTATCACAGCCAAACTTCATTTGGGAGCCGTTGTCAATTAGTTGTATCCATGGCTAGTAGTGGGTGGGGGCGGAGCCTTCATCGGAGCGTATCACCGGTATTCTCCATATAAGCCGGTGTCCATCACTGTTGTATCCATGGCTAGTAGTGGGTGGGGCGGAGCCTTGATCAGAGTATCGCAGGTATTCTCCATATAAGCCGGTGTCCATCACTGTTGTATCCATGGCTAGTAGTGGGTGGGGGCGGAGCCTTGATCAGAGTATCGCAGGTATTCTCCATATAAGCCGGTGTCCATCACTGTTGTATCCATGGCTAGTAGTGGGTGGGGGCGGAGCTTTCATCGGAGAGTATCGCAGGTATTCTCCATATAAGCCGGTGTCTATCACTGTTGTATCCATGGCTTGTAAGCGGTGGGGGCGGAGCCTTCATCTTGGTATCTGAGTCGTTTGGTGCACATAGAGCATTTATCTTCTTTTTGAGGTTCTTGAAGCAATTTAGATCCATGGGGTTTTGTGTCTGGGGTTCAGCTTAGCAAGCCGGGACCTGTGTGCTCTGATATTGGCAAGGAGTGAAGGAGGAACTTCCACCTCCCAATGAAAAGAAGTGTCTTCCCCTTCTCTCGCATCGCTCTCCTACCACAGGTCCCATCCCGGACATCATAGGGAGCCGACGGACTCCGTGGTTCTTGCATGGTGTCTTTTTAACCACTTCCCACCAGCCGTGCATGTTTATGTGGCAACATGGATGTGGTCTTATTTCGTGCACATGTATGCATAAGAGTTTTGTGCTGGGAGGTTGCTCAGTCATGCCCCCCTATCCACTGACTGGGCTTTAATCATCTGCTCCTGGTCACATAACAATAAGGAGCCGATGGGACGGACTCGCGTGTCAATCGCGTTGGTCATGTGATCGGGGAGCCTGTGTAACGCCGATTTGTTTCAGATGGATTGTGTAGGTTGTACAATGTTTACAGGTAGGAATTCATCCGTCTTCATTCTCCCTCCAGACTGGGAAACCTCCACGACGTGGACTTGGGGACTCCGGCACCAGTGATGAAAACTTTCAAGGAGTTCCTTCTGTCCTTGGAGGACACGGTGGATGAGACGGAGGCCGTGAGACGCTACAACGAGTACAAGCTGGAGTTCAGACGTCAACAGATGCAGGATTTCTTCCTGGCGCACAAGGACGAGGAATGGTACGGGGTGTTCCTTTTATCTGCCTGTCTCCCTCTCTCTCAGTCCCTCTGTCCTGTCATTCTCATCCTTCCCTTTATTAAAGAGACCCTGTCACCAACTTAAACTGCAGGTATAAGCTCATAAAAATCAATCATTTAGAAATGTTGTTGTACTTGCTTTGTCTTTCCTTTGCATTAAAGGAGAAGTATGGGGTAAGTGTTTTCCCCCATAGTTCTACTCAGGTTCTCAGGAGGACACAAACTAGCGTCCTCCTGTGACCCTAAACTCAGTATATAGGGAGCTACAGCTTGCGGAATACTGAGGCCGCCGCAGCCGGAGCGGATCCCGACATTGATGTCTGGATCCGCCCAGCTGCGTGAGTGACAGCTGGCTCTGCCTATCTAGAGGCAGAGCCAGCTGTACCCACCCCCCTCCCCCGTTCGTTCCGCCAGTCAGCGCTGGCGGAGTGGTGAGGGGGGAATCCAGCCCCTCACCTGTCACGGCAGAGAGCCGTGACAGTATCGAGAAGTGAGCTAACACCGGTATGTGTTCGCTCACCTCCCGATCTACTGAGCCGCCCTGTGACAGTTTCATTGTCACAGGTCGTCTAGAACTATGAGGATGAATGAAAATCACTCGCCTCATAGTTCTCCTTTTAACACTGGTATTGTCTGATACAACTATAGGATTAAAAAAAATGCATAAGAAAAAAGTTCCCCCTGATAATATAGACGGCTGAAGTCATTAGATGTAGATATTGGATCATGGGTAGCCACCTCCGGCACTACAACTGTTGGCGAACTATACATCCCATGATGCATTGCAGCCAGAAGCAATAGCATGTTGGGATTTGTAGTTTCATACCCCTGTACTAGATATTCTATAGATATTCATTAGAAATAGATATTACATTTGGATATAGGTATTAGTTATCAGCTTGCAGATGCCTATGCAGCCTGTAGATAGGAGAATACTTCTGTTTAACACTGGTATTGTCTGATACAACTGAAGGATTAAAAAAAATGCATAAGAGACGTGTGCAAATGATGTATAGAGATGGGTGTTTAGTCATTAGATATAGCTATTAGATCAGGGGTAGGCAACCTCGACACTCCCAGCTGTTGCCGAACGATACATCCCATGATGCATTGCAAGACTGACAGCCACAGGCATGACTACCAGAGGCAATAGCATGATGGGGTTTGTTTCATCACAGCTGGAGGGCCAAGTTTTGCCTACTCCTGTATTAGATATTCTATTCTATTAGAGATTAGATAGAGCTGAGGGTACGAGGGAGATGGGCATGGGAGATATGGGTATTGATGTACAGCTTCGTGCACGGCCGTGTCGGGCAGCTCCCGGAAGGGTCAGGTGCTGCGTGTGATTAGTACGCCGCCCCCGTCCTTCAAACCCCCCCCCAAGTGCAGCTCTGTACGGGTACGTGTTTCCTGGCTCGGACGCAGACGGGATCCTTCCTGTACGGACACCCGCACGGCTGCGTAGTCCCATAGAGAAGGACGCGGGCCTGCGTACCAATCGCACGCAGCACCTGTCCTTCCCGGGAGCTGAGCGATCCGGCCGTGCACGGAGCTGTACCCCCCTGG